TGTGTGTGTGTGTGCGTATATGTGTGTGTGTGTGTGTGTGTGTGTGTGTGTGTGTGTGTGTGTGTGTGTGTGTGTGTGTGTGTGTGTGTGTGGTTGTGTGTGTGTGTGTGTGGGTGGTGTGTGTGTGTGTGTGCGTATATGTGTGTGTGTGTGTGTGTGTGTTGTGTGTGTGTGTGTGTGTGTGTGTGTGTGTGTGTGTGTGTGTGTGTGTGGTGTGTGTGTGTGCGTATGTGTGTGTGTGTGTGTGTGTGTGTGTGTGTGTGTGTGTGGGTGTGTGTGTGTGTGTGTGTGTGTGTATGTGGTGTGGTGGTGTGTGGTGTGTGTGTGTGTGTGTGTGTGTGTGTGTGTGTGTGTGTGTGTGGTGTGTGGTGTGTGGTGTGTGTCTCTTCTCTTTCCCCACACACACACAACACACTCATATACTATCTCTACCTATATATGTATATATATACTATTATCGTAATATATATTTTTTAATTTTCAAAAAATTTAAATATATATATATATAATATGATATATATCCACACACCACACCACACACACCCACACACACACACACCACACACACACACACACACACACATAATATATTCTATATATATACTCATATAGATATATATACTATATTATATATACTCTCATCTACTATCTATCGTCTATACTATCATATATATATCTCAGTAATCTATATCATATATCTATATATATATATAATACATATATACTATATATATTATTATATATATATCATATAGTATATATCCTCATATACATATATATATAATATATCTATAGATAGTGGGAATGTGTGTGTGTATACACACACACATATACATACCATACTAGAATAACATATATATACACTAGACTCACTCATATATACACATACCCAATAACACACACGCACGTAATGTACCATTCCAATTTTTGATTACTCCCTCTATCGCTTATTTTTTTTCATTTCAAAATAGTTTCATACAGACTAACTCAACATTTCGACATTTAATAAAATGAATAGACAGAAGGAAAGAGAATAATGGAAAAATAGAGAATAGACAAACAGAGCCCGGAAGAATCAGACATATGCGTCCACTGCTATATCTCATCATACTTCATGGGGATCCCTGATTGTCACGATTTTCTAATCTACTGAGAATATGTCACCCAAATATAATCGTACGCCATCGATTTATAACACATGGCCAAGTTGGATCACAAACACATAACCCGTTGTAGTCCCAAAAGACTATCGTTCTTGCACCACAGTGGGTTTTCCAGTCACTAGCTGCTTTGTTCGCACACGTGGATTTTTAGCATCTCGCCTCTGCTTTAAAACTGGTCCAATGCAATGTTGTGCTCATGTCCGTCCTACAACAACAATATTTTTAGCGATCAACTGTATTGTGGTCACGATACATCACACAGTAATTTATGATGACCAAGAGACTGTTTGTGAGCAACTACGAAACGTCAATTGGTGTTATACCCATCTACACCTACATTTGTCTTTGCTTCCCTCCTAATGCACATGAATTCATATCAGCACCATGTGTAGCAACCTTGTAACGCTTGTAGCCACTTGAGGTGTGGGTCATACAGTTCAAACACGAGGTATGTGCTACAACATTCCGCCTTCACTTGAAAATAGCACCACAGACCCAGCCGGATTGTTACTGGACTTTGTTAAACCACGCACACAGCGTCAGGGGGGGGGGGGGGACAGCCGTGACGCGACTTTATTTCAAATAACATTTCTAATATAACCCGATACAAATATACCGGCACTATAGTCACCATTGTAAGGCTGGTGGTACACCACATCATACATATTAAAGATTACGAAATATCAGTCAAATAACCAGCTGTACTGTTTTATGACCGCATCCAATGGATCTGTTCTACGATCCCGTTTCAACAATCAGACTCACAACAGTCACACAGACACGTGTTCCTTGTATCGAGAATGTATCTATTTTGTAAAATGTACATATTTGTGTTTCGAATATGTATATGTATAGTGACCGTACAAGTATCCTTTACACATTATTATATGGTCGCAAATTTTGTACATGTTGAATAAATCGAATATCATCTACCTCATGGGTTGGGTCCACGTTATTAGGCACATCCTATATGCTATACAATTCCAATTTTTTTTTTGAGGTATAGATATTTGTTGTAGGTGTACTATGTCCTGCGTTTATGTTCATTTCCCTTTCGTGCTGTATTACAAAAACACTTCACACCTGAACAATTATCTCTTTATTAAACATATATTAAACACTTCTGGATTAAAACAAAACTTTCATTATTTTTGTCTGGTACAATTTATCTTGAAGTATAGTAATTTATGTTTGTTGGAGGTGACGTGCGGAAGGTCACTGAGTGCAGCGGTTTGCGGCCGCGGGTTCATCTGCGACTGCGGCCGCGGGAGCGTGGAGGACCCAGTTCTGGAGCGGGCACGTAGTCCTGCTGCTACAGCTGACAGGGCTCTCTGGCGTCATGTAGAAAGGGGGTCGTCACAAACATGTAATAAATCTACACACTCAACAAAGCAAACTATATTTGTCACGTTAACAAAGTAAGCAAATAATATAATAACGGTTAAGTGTTCTCAGCAATTGTAATCATAAATAACAATCGCGACTCCTCAGCCTCAGTTACGAATATTGTGAATCTGAGGTGATTCAGAATTATAAGAACTGATTATTATGCATTTGAGAGGATGAATGGTGAAATCTGTAAAGG